GCATGAAGCAGGGGAGCTTCAGGCGTCTCGTTGGGGAAGGGCACGTCGGGAGAGATGGAAAAGGAAATTCGGGGGTGATAGGGAGGTAGAGGAACAGGAGGAGCAGGAGGTTGATAATGAAATGGAGGAGACAGAAGAGGTAGAGGAGGAAGAGGAGGAGGAGGAGGAGGAGGAGGACCAGTGTAAACCCGAGAGTCAGCAACGGTCTTGGAATAAACCCTCCCTCCAAGCTCCCCCTTCAGAGGCCCCTACAAGATCCATTTCCACTGGGGGAACTGCTTCGTTGGAAGGCATCCTTTTGAAGACCCTTCCGCATGCCAAAACACCGTTCTCGGGATTTCAACGCCACGGACCAACCTGACTCTTACATCTGGACGATCCAGAACCGTGCCAGAACGCTATTCTTGAGACTTCAACGCCCCGAATCAACGTAACTGCTGCGGCCTCATAATATTGAATACTGCCAACACATCATTCATGGTCCGCTGATCATGGGACTCCGTGAAACGATTGCACATTAAAATGACGGATGTGTGCGGTACCCAAGCGCGAGCCACATTTAAAAACGGAGCCACCCTCTATCCGAGAACATCTTGCATTTTTGGTTAAACGAATGTGCGCGGCGCTGAGGCGAGAACAACATTTTGAAGACGACCCGCCCTCAATCCGTGAAGCTCTTGCTCAATTTTACAACGAATGTGCGCGGCGCCAAAGCGAGAACCACATGTTGAAAACGACCCGCCCTCAATCCGTGAAACCCTTGCATTTTGTAACGAATGTGCGCGGCGCTGGGGCGAGAGCCACATTTTGAAGACCACCCGCCCTCCATGTGTGAAACTGCTGTCAAGGTTTAAGCTGCAGGGTCATGAATGGTGAGGAAGTCTCAGGCGAAACGCCCAGACCGCCCTAAAAACTGGCCTCGGGGTGCGACAGGGAAACATTATGCATAAGGAATGGAGGAGGAGGAGGAGGAGGAGGAGGAGGAGGAGGAGGAGGAGGAAGGAGGACAGGAAGAAAGAAGGAGCAGGAAGTCGGAGGAGGATGAGGAGGAGGAGGTGGTACAATACACCCTCCCTCCCAAAGCCCCCTGTTCAGGCACTCCTCTCAAAACAGCGAGTGCCCAGCTGAGGAGGCCAGAGGATGGGGAGGTCGAGAAGGACGGCAAAGACAACGAGCAACAGGACGAAGCGAGGAGGGAGGACACATGAGGAGGAGAGAGGGGGCAGGAGGAGGGAGGAGGAGAAGTGCAGGACAAGGAAGGGGGGAGGAAGGAGAACAAGGAGGGGCACACGGCGGAGGGGGATGGGGGAGGCAGACACCGAGAAGGAGAAGGAGAGGGAGGGACGAGATAAGATGGAGGGGAGGAGCAGAAGCAGGAGGAGAAATGGGGGGCACTGCGCAGGGAGAGGCAAGCCTGCTCCAACTACACCTGCTGCTGCTGCTGTCACTGCATCGGCTGCTGCTGCCCCTTCCTGCCCTCCTCAAACAAGCCTCTCTGCTCCGTGGTACTCCCCGGATATCATGAACACTCTCCTCCTACGCCCCCACGTCCGCCTTCGCCGCTCACCATTACCAGTATCATAATCATAGTCCTCGATCGTCGTCATCACCAGCAACATCACTTGTGTCACCATCATCATCAGCAGCAGCAGCATCAGCATCATCATAACCATCATCACCAAAGACACCATCATCACCATCACCATCATCGCCACCACCATCATGATCATCCACATCACCACAATCATCATCGTCGGCATCACCATCACCCGTCATCACCATCATCACCATCATTGCCACCATCATCACCATGCCAAATTTGCGGCGGCGTGGAGGCACGATACAGGCATCGACAGGACCCCAGTGAGGGTAACGCCCATGATCGATGCTTTCATTGAGCTGACGCCGTACATGGTCAGGAGAAAGAAGAGCAACTTGTCGCAACCGATGCCTGGCTGAACCCTTCCGTGCACTTTGGGCCGGCCCAAATCCGAAATCTGCTGCCTGCCACGCGCCCGTCTGTTCGAGTTTGCCCCGTGTTGCACACCAGGACCGGTGCACGCCGCTGATGTTTCTCCCCTATCCTCGTGCCTTCCCGAAGGAGCATCGGAAGAAGAATCGTTAGATAAGGCACTCAGGGTCACGCTGCCGATGGAAGGTCTTCCGCGGGACACTCATGGGCAACCCTCCGCGCCCCGACTGAGACAATAACGACTGAGGGTCTGTCACTTAGGGAAAGGCCAGCAGTCGACAACGCTACCGCATCGCAGTCGAAGATACACACACCCTGGGATTTTCATCGACAGCGGGGCCCAAACGCGCTGACGCTTCAGGTTACCCGGACGGCCACGAAGACGATGGCCACGACGACGGCAGCAGTGACGAGACTACGGCGATGTGACACGCTGACAAGTGCCGATCGCCGAACGATTTGCGAGGTATGCTTCATGCTGCACCGCTGGGTGCCAAGCGAAGAGCTCCGACGATTGGCCGATGAGGAAGATGACGAGGACGACAAGCAACAAGGATTGGCAACGTCTATTCTTGCTTCAGCCCCAAGTTTCGATTGCTACTTCTAGATGACACCAGCAACAATTATTCCTGGTCGCCGACTGTCCATATAATGTGAGAGAGTGGTGTGAAAACCAGAAGACAACAAACGCACCTCTGATCACCATGGTGATGTACTGCCCACAAGCGGTCACTCCTTTTTCGATCGGGCGCCCACAGGCCTGAGGGGAATCAGTTCGATGGGAAACAGCTAGCCCTGAAGCCCAGAAGACATCAATTTGAAGCACTCGCTCACTTGCTTCACTTTCACCCAACCCCCACTTCACGTCAACAGCTACATGCGCGAACACTAAAGACACTCCACATCCTCCTCATCTCTCCCCTCCTCTGCCGCCGCTTATCCACAGGGAGAAAAACAAACATCAGGATGGCCCAACCACCCCATGATGATGCCGCCGAGCAGGCCAGCGGTCAGGAGGCACGCCTTCACGGAAAGCCTGTCCGTGGGAAGCGCCTGGTCCTGCGACTGGGGCGCTGTTCGAAAGGCCGAACAAGAAATAGCGGAGAGCGATCGCGGGGAGGGCGCTCTGGCTAGCAGGAAACGAGCGGAGCTGGCATGAGCGGCTTGCCGCGCCGACAGGAGGAAGTCGGAGCGGAGGGGGCGCTCTGCACGCTGACGGTAGGCCTGCCAGGGGGGGGGCGTTTCTGCATGCGAAGTTGGCTGGGCTCTCGGTGTTGGTGCCATGCCGGAATCACGAAGTGAGGGCTGAGGGCGCTCTGGCTGCCAAGGGGGCGCGAACCAGACTTGCTCCTCCTGAGAGGCGGGCTACCGCTCGAGACACCCTGGCAATTCCCTCACAAATGGGGCACACGCCTGAGATCTTCTTTACACTAGAACCGACAGGCGAAAAAGACCTATGCGAAAACACATGAGGCCAGCTGGCCAGCTCACAATGCAAGGGAGCGGGGGTGTACTTATGGTGCCGTGCCGAAGGTAGGTCGGGGCGGAGGCTGCTGTGCCGTTCCGAAACAAAGTGGCCGGGGCCGGGGGCTCACTGTGGCTTCCAGGGGAGGGCGACCGGGGGCTGGGAAGGGGGGCCGTGGCGCTGGCACGTTGCCGAAAGAAGTAGGTCGGAGCTCTGGAGGCTGAGCGCAGAAGAGTCTGAGAAATACCACGGCCTCCAGAGAAGTTGAAGAATGCGCTCGGGAGGAAAGGACGGAATCGCTGAGCGGATGTAGCCATGAGACCGCCGATGAGGACGACAACGAGAGGAAAGACCATGGGGGACAAGAGAAGAGTTGTCCAAAAGCAGCTGCGAAGGGCGGGGACCTCCGTGCGACGTCGGTCCGCCAACGAAGAGTGGCCTCTACACAGCAGGGTCGCGCGGCAGGAACGACAGAGGACTTGCAGGAACTATGAATTCCAATGTCGGAGCTCCTGACGGGGGCTACCACCAGGAAGATGAAAGAGTGGGCGTGGCGGAGAAGAACCTGCTTCAGAGATCTCGTTGCTTCTGCCTGGCCGAATGGAACATCGTTCATTGCAACTTGCTACTTCCGAATATCATCGGCGGATGACGTTTCGGATGCCAGAACCTGCATCCTCGAATCGAGGACGCAGGCTTCGGCATCCCAACGACATAGTGGCGACGACGGCAGAGAAGATATGAACGAACTTCTGTATGTTTCAGATTATGTTCGGGTCGGAGCGATCAGCACTGCCCGTCAGCGGACCACCCATGCATCGCGCAACGAGCTGAGACTAGGACACGCAATTTCCCCGCCCCTCCTCTTTACAATTACCCAACAATTACTCGACACGAATACTGGTCTCCTCGCTCCCGTGAACATGTGCACTGTTGATTCCGCCTCTCCCCCATCATTTCACGTATGACTTCATGGTCTGATATGTCATACACCTGTATACAACAGGAACGTATGTGGTCCTTCAGAGATGATCCAGCTCCAGCATTGGTCACGTTTCAGGATCGGTGCTTCGCCCCCGTCGTTGAGAATTGCGTTCTCGCCCCAGCGCGGGCCACAGTTCTGGATCCGAGTCCTCCGTCCCTCGTCGTTCTCCCACTCGACCTTCCTCTGGCTAACCTCCTCCTCCTCCTCCTCCTCCTTCTCTTCCCTCTCCTGCAATGCACAAAACCCCAGACCCGATTGCGCAGCAAACTAAGCTTCAAATCCTGGAATTGCCATTCGGGGGTTAAGGCCCTCTCGGAATCCCAAGTGGCAGATAGAAAAGGATTGAATGCAGTGGGAATGAGTAGGTGGGAGGGGAAGGATATTGGATGTCGCACAAGCGGCTCGGGAGCGCATCTAGCTTGCCTACCTCATCTCTCCTCCATCGCCGCTCCTCCCTCCTCCCTTATCTTGCTCCTGCTCCTCCTGTTCCACTCCCCCCTACTATCCTCCTCTTCCTCCTCCTCCCTCCGCATCATTTCCTCATGTCTCCTCCTTGTCTATCCCTTCCTTCATCATTGTCCCCCCTTCCTCTTTATGTCTGCAAGCTGTGAAAATTGGAAAACCGTAGAGAATCTACATACGCCTGGGCGCAAGGCAGAGTGGTCAGGAGATACTCACAACAGCTCAGGCTAAGCGAGGGCCCTGGGGCCAGGCACTAATCAAATGCACGTGCCCCTGGAGCACGACACGCCCACACAGCCCAGTACAAGCCATTATCTAGAACGTATCGCTCGCAACCAACTGAAACACGACCTACTCGTGCACGGACAATGTTCGAATTGATGCGGGGATGCTACGAGCAAGACCCCTTGCCTGCGCAACGCGCACTTTTTACATGAAGTAATGCTCACAGGGTAGGGGTGATGGGTGGTGGCCCAGAGATGTCATCTGTGCTTGGATAAGCAGTCGTGCTGTTGAGCAGGCTCGGGCACCCTGGTCTCAACCGATGGGCAGAGTGGCCTGCTGGTCTGCCGCCGCACCGCGTACGCTGCTGCCTGCGAACAAGTCAAAGGGGGGGAGGGAAGAGGGGAGGCCCCCACGCTGGGTGCAGGAGCACATGCACTCAGGAAGAGGGGAGGGACGAGGGAAGAGGGGAGGGAGGAGGGAAGAGGGGGGAGGCCCTCTAGCGGGGGGGGAGGGGGAGGGGGAGGGACGAGGGGAGGGAAGAGGAGAGGGGCATGAAGGGGGAGGGAAGGGGGATGAGGGGAGGCCCCCATGCTCTCAGGACCCCGTGCAGCCCCTGAGCTCCGGGCCCCGGCGGGACGGCGTCAGGCACCCCGCGGCCGCTCCTCCTCGTCGGGGAGCCCCCTGCCGAGCAGCAGGCACGTGGCGGCGTGCAGCAGCAGGCCCGGGGGGCCGATGAGGTTGCAGAAGAGCACCGAGTGCGAGGTGAAGATGCCCCGGCGTTGGCCATCCAGGTAGATCCAGCGGCCCACGAAGAGGTCCCAGACGAGCACGTGGGACCACTCCTCCGAGACGAAGCCCGGGCTCTTCATGAGCTTCATCATGTTCTCCTGCGGGCTGAAGTCGCTGAGCAGCTTCCCCTGCACCTCGGGGTTGAACACCTGGATGAGCGTCGTGAGCTCCTCCACGTTGTCGGGGTTCGTGGATGCGACGTTGTAGACTATGAAGAGGTGGACGCACCCGAACAGGATGACTGGCCACAAAGGCTGCATGATCTTCTTCGTGACGTCCCAATTCGGCAAGAACACCATCAGCAGCCACAGCCACTGAGGCAGGAACGTGACGACGTTGAACCCCATGCTCACCACGGCTGGCGTCGCCTCGAGGCTCGCGAGCGCGAGGGACACGTCCGGCAGAGCCCTCGCGGCGGTCCTGGCGCCCGCCCTGCCGCCGCTGGCAGAAGAGCAAACGACTGCATGAGCACACAAAACTTCGAAGCCCGCGCGGACTTCTTGGGTCGACGCTGTACCCCGCCCCCGCCCCTGGCGCGCGATGCGCGCAACGGGGGCGGCGCCGGAGGGCGCCGATCGAAGAAGTCCGCGCGGGCCTCGGAAAGCTAACCGTTCAGCTACTGCAGCAAGGAACAAGGAACGAAACCCCTCTGTGGCCCCAAGAGAGCCTGGGTGCACCAGGGGCGCTAGAGGAACAAGCACGGACGAACCTGAGCAGCAGCGAGCTAGGAAGAAGCCAGGACAAGGACAGAATCGGACTGGGACAGATCGGAGATCTCTGATATCTGGGGATTCTGGAGAATACATGGGGTGCCGCGGCCGTTCCAGAGCGCCCCGGGACGCTCTGAAAGCGCTCCAGAACGCTCTGGAGCGATGTGGCCCCGCCCGACGAGCCCCCTCCGAACCCAGACTGATCCTTGCTTCAGCATCCTGACTGCATGAGCATGCCCTTCTTTGCCCTTCCAGATGCCCGAGAGAACACGGCTGGTCTGGCTCTGGACGGCGGTTCAAAGATGGGGCCCTGCGGGATGGGGCCCTGAGGTCGAGTGGCCTCGAACAAGGTAAGTTCAACCTGGGATCCCTTCCTAACCTCAGGGCCCCATCTGGTAAGGCTTCGGGTTGCGCACAAACAGTCTCCCCCAGGTAGTCCCGGCTGGCCTCCACAGGCCCCCGAGTAGTCCCAGCTGGCATACAGAGGCCCCCCGAGTACACCCCAGCTCAGATTTACGAACTTCTTGCGCTGAGAAAGCAGACTTCACTCCAAGCGTTTTCTTACCTAGTCCAGGTCCAGCAATACGAACAGTCCACGAAGAAAATAAGCTCCAAGAAAACGCCCAGGGTCCAGTCCAGAGTCTTGATTTCTGGGGCGAAATCAGTCTGGGATCTTCTAATACGTACACTTTTTCTTAAGATGTCTGATGGGTGTCGTCTGGGGCGGTCTCAACACCTCAATCCTGGGGCGCCGAGCGCCTCAGGGGCGCCGGACTGTTGAGACCGCCCCATGCTACTCGGGAGGCCTGCGAAGGCCAGTCAGGACCACACCTGCGGGGGCTGTCTGCGCGCAGCCCGAATTCTCGAGTAGGGGATCCACTACGAAAGTGATTCATTCCAATATTCAATATTCTGGCGAGTCTGCAGAAAATGCGCAAAATGCGCCATATACTCTCGATCTACGGAACATACTACGTAGTGTTTCGAATATTCGACAACTAACAATTTTTGGGTAAATCTATTGTGTAGTCGACCCCCTACTCGAAAGTCTAAGAGCGCGTTTGTTATTTTTGGCGATGACGGGCGTCATGGGGGGGGGTATGACGTAACCTCCCCCCACGCCGAGTGGCTCCGGCACCACAGCCGCGCCCGCGCGCACGACGACGATAAGCGACGAGCGACGAGCGACAACGACGACAACGAAGACGACGACGAAGCGACCAGCATGTGGGTGGCGATCTGCCCCACAGCGCCTGTGTACACCACAATGCTCGCGTGCACCACAGCGCTTATGTACACCACAGCGCCTGCGTACACCGTAACAGCCGTATGCAACGCAGCGCCTGTCTACACCACACTGCTTACGTGCACCGCAGCGCCTGTGCACACCACAACGCCTGTCTACACCACGACATCCACGTGCAACGTAGCGCTGGTGTACACCAGAATGCCTGCGTGCACAGGACAGGCAGAAGGAGCATGTCGGTGAGGATCTGCTGCGGACAGCTCAACGCCACGCCAGGGAAATGTTGATAATAGAATGCGACGTTCTTCCCTCCTCCCTCCTCCACCTCCGCCTCCTCCTCATCCTCGTCCTCCTCCTCGTCCTCTTCGTCCTCCTCCTCCCTCACCCTTCGGCCCTTCCCCCCTGTCGTGCGGATCGGCGCTGCAGCGCACGTGCGCATCTCAGCGTGCACCGCAGAATGGTCGATTGAATCAGTCCACTTGGTTCTCGGACGGCCAATTTAGCTGGAGCCTCCTGGACGCAGATGGGAGGAGCTAGGATGATGCGGGCGGACTCTGGAGGACTCGTAGATTCCAGCGGCGCTCCTTTTTCCATAAGCATTCCTGTCCAAACCCTATATAATACATTTTTCTGTTGAATCCACAGGCGCTCCATTTTGTCACAAGGAATCCTGATAACATTCTATGTGCAACAGTGGTGCTTTGTTGCACACGGTTGCTGTGGTGCACACAGGCGCCATGGTGTACACAGGCGCTCTAGTGCCCAGACCACTCTCGGGGTGCGTTCGGACCAGCATTTCGAGGATAATCCAGCGGTGGCGACGAGGACCACCTAGGAAGTCCACGAAGGCAAAAACACGGAGTGGGTGGCGGTATGGCTACCTCTTCCTCCTCTGACCATCCCTCAGGGCACCAGCTCTGAACCGCCGAGCTGGCTGCGTGCTCCCGCGGTTGGCCGCGCCCCGGCCGGCGCCGCCGCGAACGCGGCCGCGGGCGCCTCGCGCGGCCGCCCGCACAGGGAGAGGCCCGCCGCTAGCGCCGCGGCGGCGCACGGCGCGCCGAGCAGCCAGGCCTCGCGGCGGGCGGCCCGGCGCCCAGCGTGGCGGGCCACCATCGCTGGGAGGACGCCAGCCGTGCAGAGTAAACCCCTGCTCGGAGTGAATAGCACTTGAGGCCAAGAGGATGGCCTTCCCTCGAAGCGTTTTCTTAACCTAGTACAGGTCCAGATAAATAATCGACGAAGAAAAGGAGCTCCAAGAAAACGCCCAGGGTCCAGTCCAGAATCTTGACTTTCTTGAGCGAAATCTGGAGTCCAGAAGAAATTATGCACTTCTAAAAAGTTTCTGACCTCTCCCACGTTTCGGCACCGCACCTGGAGGACCTGCTATGGAGGCTTCTCGTCGCAACGGCTGGACCCGCCTTGAAGAATGGAGCAAGAGGGGCCCCGGGAGGGCTCTCGGGGCCGATTCTAGCGAGCCTATGCTGGGCGGCAGAGCCGCTGACGTCGCAACTGGCCCTCCTCCGATTTGCGCACGCTGCCGCGCGTGCCAACACGCGCGGCAGCACGCGCCGAGCTGGTCGGGGCACATTGCCAGCGTCGTCCACATCGCCCGCGGGAGCGGCTGGGCTGCCTGGGAGGGTACGTGGATGTGCCAGACTCGCAGCGGACGGCCATCACGAGCGACAGACCTATACATGCCCATGCCGTCGCGGCCCGATTGCCGAAAGCACACGCTCCCAGGGCGGGGTGGGCTAGCAGGCCCCTTTCGGCGATGGATGGAAGATTGGGGGTCGATGCGTTCCCCTATGAGCCTATCCTCTAAGATTGACAGAACACCCTTCAGCAAAACGCCCTTTAGTGAAAGCTGCCATGGGCACTTTACGTGCGCGTGGCACCGCATTCCGAGCGGGCCCCAGCGTGGTAGCTAATCGACGTCAGCAAAAAACGAAAGTATCTAGCGGAACGCGCGTCGATTAGCGAAACCAACTGGGGACTGCACTGGCACACTCGAATACCAATGTCGAGTGAAACAGTGAAGATTTCCTCAGTCGACTTGTCTGGATGGGCGTTCTCTCAATTCCCGTTATTTCCCCCTATCACTATCGTTGCCCCTAGCTCCGAGGAGGCAATCTGCCACGAGCACGAACTCCACGCCCCTCCCCTGCCAAGGCGGCCAGACGTCGAAGCACCACCAGATTGGGGGAACCAACGGTACCAGTACCGCTGCTCCCCAGACCACTCCCGGGTTGTGTTCGGACCAACATTTCGAGGAGAATCCAGCCGCTGCCACGAGGGCCTGCCAGGAAGCTCACGAAGGCGGACAAAAAGGCCAGGGTGGTTGTATCGATACCATTTTTCCTTCCCTGAGGCATGTAAAATTGGAGACCAGACGCGCTCCGGAAACACTGAGCCCAAACAAATTTCGGGTGTTGCTAGATGTGCCCCTGGCCCATGGTGCCCCCAGGATTTCCAAGGAGGCCCCCATGGCCTCTAAAGCACCCCTCGCGAGGCCTAGAGGGCCCCAGGGGTTCCGGAATCGAGCGACAGGCTGGGGGGGCACCTTGGGCCAGGGGCACCTTGGGCCAGGGGCACCTGCCCCCCAAAGTTGCCATCTCACTTTGGGACGCATCCTTTACTTCTGCCGCCCTCCGCTGGCGGACCCGCTGCCGTCTTGTGCCCGCCGCCTTCGGCTGGTCTTTCACGGGCTTCGGCTCCTGCCAGCCTCTTGAGCGGGGGTGGGCAGATGCAGGCCAGACCAGAGGCTCTAAGCTCAGCGTGAGGGCATTGGATGACAAACCCTTTGGGTAAGGAGTCCAGGGTCTGGAAGCCAGTGGAACGCCAATGGAGGCCTGGCCATGGAAATCACCGCCCCCCTCACCGGATGAGGAATCCGCCAGGGTCTGAAGCCTCCTAGGCACATTCCTTAACGACCGCCCCCTCCGTATGTCTTAGACCACGGCTCTCTGATGCAAGACCGTGGGTGCAAGACGGAAACACAAGAGAAGATAGTGACATTGAACGTGGGAAGACAGACACAACGAAAGAACGAATCTGCCGTCGCCCCGAGGGCGACCCAAGCAGGGCGGCAGGCGCGCCGCGTGGCATGCGGCCTTCCAGGAAGGTCGGAGATGCCAGAGTGGAAGGCCGAAGCACGCTGAGGGAGGGAAATGAGGAACGACGGGAACAAGTGGCCGACCCCAGACACCCAGGATCCAAAAATGTTGACGTCCTCACCGTCACTTCCGCCGCCTTCCGCAAGCTTCCGCCCGCTGACCCGCCGCAATTGTACTTCCGCTGGCTTCCTCCGAATGCGAGATGCGCCGAAGGATGGGCCCTTTCAGGAGCGCCCAGATGGTCATAGCTGTGGCGCGTAGGGCTGCGAAGCGAGAGCGTGTGCGCTGCCCGCTCCCAGGGTCGCCTTGGAGTCTCTCACTCATCCCCTGGCCAAGCACTGTCCGCTGCGCAGGAACAGCCTCGAGACGAGACGCGCGGAGATATGTGGCACTGCGCGTGATGCTACATGAGACTTCGGTGTAAGCACAATCGCTTCGTATGGCTCGCGAGAGGCCGCGAACACGCGCCGCGTGTGCCCGAAGCCAGTCCTGCTTCGCGAGGTCGTGGAAGAGTCCGTGCGCAGTGTAGGCGAAGAGCAACGCCATGCAGCAAGTGAAGAACCTCAGTCGAAGTGCAGGAGCCCTGGCAAGCTTTGTACACCTCCTACTAGGTGCGAAACTTCCCACCCCACAAAACAACGATCCCAGCATGCATGAAACAAAACATGTTTCCCCGATGCTCTCAACACATTGCCCGCTGTCTCGTGCTGACCGCGCCTCTCCTGTCCAGCAGGCTCTCGTTTGTGCACGACCGCGTGCCCGCACGCCTATTGCTGCCGCGATTGCCTCAAATACCACTCGCTCCGTCTCTCTCCCTCTGGCCCCCCTTTCTCTCTCTTTGTCTCTCTTTCTCTCTCGTTCTCTTTCTCTCTTTGTGTCACTGTTCGCATCTCTCTCTCTGCCCCTCAGTTTGCCATCTCTCTCTCTCTTTCTGTCCCTCTTTCTCTCGCTCTCTCTCTCTCTCTGCCCCTCTTTCTCTCGCTCTCTCTCTCTCTCGCTCTCTCTCTCTCTCTGGCTGTGTTTTGGTTGATTCTCTCGTTCTCTCTTTCTTTCCGTCTCTCTCTCTCTCACCCTATCCCTCTGTGTGAGCGCCTGGGGGCGCCTGGGAGCGTGTGGAAATGCCTGGGAGCAGGAGAAGGAGGAATAAAGGAATGATTATGAGCAAGGCGAGGTAGGAAGGAGGAGTCGGGGAGGAGGGAGCAGGGAAAAGGAAGGACGTGATGCTCCGCATCCTCCTTTGAAGCCCCTGCAATTCCATGGTTCCCTCCTTCTCCCAAGTAGAATAGAGCAAAGGGGATCCCTTGGCTATACACTCTTCACCTCCCTGTTCTCCTCCTCCTCCTCCTCCTCCTCCTCCTCCCTCGTCCTCCTCCTCTATTAGGAGGAGGGCTACGACGACGAGAACGACAAGAGTGCCGACGACGACGGTGACGGTGACGACGACGACGGTGACGGTGATGACGACGACGACGCAGACGACGACGACGACGCAGACGACGACGACGACGACGACGACGACGACGACGACGACGACGACGGCGATGGCGACGGCGACGGCGACGACAACGACGGCGACGACGATGATGAGGACGACGGCGACGGCCACGGCCACGGCGATGATGGTGACGGCCGAGCAGTCCGCCACAGCAAGCCCGCGCCGTCCAGCGGGAAGGCGAAGAGGGCCAACAGCAGCCCGGTCGTGCAGCCCGGCAACGACCACGCAAAGACCGGTGGCGGCGAGGGGACCGGCCGTCGTCGTCGGCGTCCTCGTGGTCGTCGTCGTCGCCGCCGCCGCCACCGTCAACGTCATCGCCGTCGTCGGCGTCGTCGCCAGCCTCATCCACCACCCCATCATACCTCATCCTCCTCCTCCTCTTCCTCCTCCTGCGCCTCCTCATCTTCCTCCTCCGCCTCCTCCTCCACCTGACTCTCCTCCTCCTCCTCCTCCCCCTCCGACGAGGGCGGGGACGCCGCAGATGTGGCACGGCTCTGGGTGAACTTTCACGACGGAACCAGGGGAGGGCGAGCCAGGGGGTCAAAAACGGGGCGGAGACGCACAGAGCCCACCCCGCCCGACGCCAGTTCCGAGGGAGCCCCCGCCCGTGGCGGAGGCGCGCCTGGCCCGCCGCGCGGCTGCGCGACGCCAGCGCGACGGCAAGCCGGCAGGCAGGCCGCGCCCCAGCGGCGGCCCGCGGTACAGCGGGCGCCACAGGCGCTGCGCTACGGAGGCCACTGGGCTGCGGGGCGGCGCAGCGCCGCGGCGAGCCGGCGGGCAGCGGGCGCCCGAGGGCTCGGCGGCCGACGCGCCGCGCCTCGGCCTGGCAGGGGTCGGCGCGGCGAGCGCCCGCAGGGCAGCGCGGAGCGCGGACGGGCGAGGCGGGAGAGGCCTCCACGGCGGGCGCACCCGCAGGGTCCAGCGGCACGGCGCTCTGGAGCCAAGAGGGCCTGGTCTGGGCTTCGCTGCAGGGGACACCAGTGTGGGGGGGGGAGCAGCCAAACGGCAAACATCGACCTGGAATCGGCGATACACCACCGATAGATCGGCGAGAGGCCCCCCATGCTGGAACCGCACGCTCCAGAGGCGGGCTGAACCATCGGGCCCCTATCGGCAATCATTGGGAGATGGGAGATGGGGGATCGATGCGTCCCCCCGTGAGCCTATCTCCCCCCCGCCTATCGTTGCCCCGGACTCGTGGAGGACGGGGAGGGCGCGGTTCTGGACCACCAGACTTCCCGCACCGCGCCCCGCGGTGCGCGGCGCGCGTTCGCCCTCGCGCCCTCGCGCCCTCGCGCCGCCCCCTGGGAGAAGGGCAGCCACTGTGGCCCAGACCGCGGCGCGTGAAGCGCGATTCTGTTCGAGCCCCCGCGGGTAACCTAGAGGGTGAGAACGACGGCGAGGCCGGAATCCAGGACGAGGGAGAGGCGGCGGATGAGAGGAGCCTCTTCTTCTGCGTGAAGTCCCGCGCGCTGGGAGAGCCGGCGGGCCTGCGCGCGAGAGAGCTCCCGGGAGCGGGCTCCGGACGCCCGCGCTGCGTCGGGAACGCGCCGCACAATGTGTCCCTGCTATCTGTGGCGGCGCGCAGGAGATGCAGAGGGAAAGGGGCGGCCTTGCAAAAATCCGCCGATCCGGCGTGTGAGTTTAAGAAGTCTAAGCTGAAGCTCTGCTTCAGCATGAGCTGGGAAGGGGGGGAGGGGGAAGGGGGGGGGACCTCATTAACTGACGAATTCAGTGCTCGGCACCTCCCCCCCCCTGCCAGCCCCCCCCCCGTCGATCTCGGTCCCCCCCGGGAGGTTTGCTCTGCAAGGGCGAAGGCAGGAGAGGGGGAGGGGGGGGCGCTCGCTCTGCTAGGGAAAAGGAGGGAAGAGCGCGCTGAGTCCGCCGGACGGCCGGCGGGCCCCTAGGAGCAGCGCGGGTGGGCCGGAGCCCAATTACTGCATGTGGTGGAGGAAGGCGTCTTCCCAGCTGTCCCATAATTTCTGGTCACAAGCATAATATAACCAATGTTTGGTGAGACTCCCTGTGGTAAGTTGTATAAGCTGTCATATGTCGTCGCACCACCGCCTGCGTTGTCGTCCATGTCTGCGCTGTGCTATTCGA